ATTTGAGAGGGGGAGAGTGGATATACAGTTAGCATTTCATAGAGCATCTAGTCATGTAAATTTCGTCTTAAGTGGCTGTGGTCGTTCTTTTCTTGTAAGGTCGGTGAAGGAATCTATAGCCTTTTTGAGGTTTTTTGTAGTAAAAGGGTGATGTAATGGCGCACTATAACAGTCATGTAAATCCTTTCATATATCTTGCCCCGCAAAAAAGTTGTCGAAGCACCACAGCGATCAAAATGGGTATAACTGAATAAAAATTGTGTTTCAACTTTCTTTAAACATTCATAATATGCTTTATAAAATAGTCCGCTTTTCTTGCGCGATTGCAAACATTTCCTTTGGATTGTCTACCTATTATAAAACCCTGGCACATTGGGTAATGCGAAAGCAACGTACTAGCATTTAATTCACAAAAAAATTCTCTGCTCGTTTAAATAAAAAAGAGCAGCGATCGAACGACAATATCAGATTATGTAAGGTGATAAAGCTCATTATCATAAATGGAACTCGAGCAGAGAAGGCTACTGCCTATTTACATCATGAGGCTAACTAAGGTAGAAAAAAGGAGGTATTGCAAAAATAATTGGTTTTTATCATATGCTCTGAAATTCATCCATTGCGAAGCTTCATAAGACGGTAACCGCTACGAAAATTTTGTGCTCTGGTGGTGCATCGATTGGTTGGCGTAGGAACTCGGTGGGGCTTAACAAACTTCAGATTAGATCATGTCTTCTAACTGTGACTTTAATCGCACCCCAGACTTTTGTTCATAGAAAGGCAAAGCTCTAATATTCTCCTCTCCTTAAAGCAAAATCCCTTTAAAGGATAAACCTTATGTCATCTGTTAACACATATGAAAAAATCGTATAGGTAACTTTTCCTGGAAGCTGGCTTTAAGAAAACTCTCTAAAACTCTAAAAATATGCCATAGAGCCCAGTAAAGTAATTTATCATTTTTCAGGAGATCAAAGGATCAGTCAAATTTGAAAAAGTAAACTTTTGTTATCCGTCGCGGCCAGAGATTAAGGTGAAAATAATTTGCAATAACAAATAAACATCAATCACGATTCGCTTCCGCAACTTAATGCTCTACTTCTAGGTAGCACGAAACCTCAATATTATTGCTCGAGAGGGAGAAAGCATTGCTTTGGTGGGAGCTTCAGGATGTGGAAAAAGCACAGTGGTTCAGTTACTTGAAAGATTCTACGTACCTAACAGCGGAGTCATAGTATGTCTCGCTTTTTGAATATAGCAAGTAACATCTCAGAACGTAGAATAGAAAATCCACAAGATCCACAAGTACATTGGTTGGGGTCAAAAATTCGCTTTTAATGATTACATTTTGAGTTTTCAGCAAGACATCCAGGTTTAAAAAGACAAGATCTGGTTGTGTATCAATAAAATCTTAGCCAATTCTCAACCACGCCATACAGGAAAACACAGCAAAACATTTTTTATTATAACATAGCTTGCATACCCGGCTACGCTCGGCTGTTTCAGAGTAGTTAATGGTACTTTGTTTTAAGATAATCTTTTCCTGAAAGGAGCACAGTAGATTTAAGATTTCCAGCACAAAAAATCTCTCCTAACAAATCTAAAGGCTGAAAAATAATTACGTCTTACTGTTCAGCATGTTGTCTTTGCATAAATTGATAGCAACACAAAAATACCACGAAGTTAGTAGATAGTGTCTCGAATGAAATTATACTCGTAATTAGCCTGTTAACAAACCATTGTTCTCAATCTCCAGTAGTTCAAACCAAAAAACCGCCAAATTGATGGAATAGGTTGATAAAACTTCGAGTGGTTATCAAATTCGTAATCAGCATACCAAGTTACCCCAGCACACCAACTATCAGCTCTGGGAAATGCGAAAAATCGATAGATCAATAGAATCGATCGATGAATTTTCAAGAGGATATTGACTCGTAATTGGCATATCACGTAACTCCAGTACACCATCTCCCAACGCCTTTGAACGGAAACTGCGAAAAATCATTATATCAATAGACTGAAAAATCTATAAGTGGCTATCAAATTTGTAATCAGCATATCAACTTACCCCAGTGTACCAACTCCCAGCTATCTAGAGCGAAAATTGCGAAAAAATCAATAAATCGATAGACTCAATCAATGAATCTCTAAGTGACTATCATATTTGTAATCAGCATATCAACTTACCCCAATGTACCAGCTCTCAGCTA